TAGTGATGGAAGTCAAAAGCTATTGTTAAGACTCTGGTTGAAAGATGTTTTATCCTTGGAGGAAGGAAATGGAGGTGATTAGCTTTCAGGCTCCATGAGCCCTTGGCAGACTTTTGTGGCTAAGGAGAATGACAGCCAGGAAAAGATTGCCAGTAAATGAGTACATATTTTGAATTTCATGCCAGATGGTCACTCACTTAGGAGTGGCTTTAGCTTTTGTTATAGCAGTAATGCACCGTTAAACCTGCTCCAGTGGTTTTGTTACAATTTACTTGAGACACAGCAAGGAACTGAAGAGAAGACAGCAGGGCACTGGTTTCTGTTCTGCCATTTTTTCTGGATGAGGCTCTAACTTTGAAATAACTTTCATGGTCATGATCCAGAGGTCCTGTGGGTTGACAGCCAGGTTGAAATCTTTACATCCATGTGAATATAGTATATATAGAAATAAAAAATCCAGCCCACCTAAGGAATGTCTTCGTTTTTCTAAGAGCTGACTGCAGGGAATGGACCCTAGTCTTAATTTTCAGAAGAATAATCCAGTTTTCAGAAAGAGGGAAGAACAAATCTAGCACCTGAATAAAAGTAATCATGCTTCCACATGCATATTCCTGACAAGAGCTGACCTAAGTATGTTAAACATGGAATTGGGATTGGCTATGCAAGTGCTCCTCTGCAAATGAATACTGCCTCTTTTTCTTATAATTTTTACCATGTCAGCCTCTCCAAGGAAAATAGGTTTGAAATTTCCGTTGTAAACTAAGAAAGATTGGATAACCTGGCTCAGATTAAAAGCCATGAGTCCAAAAGAAAACCCTCCAAATTTTGAATTCTTCACTTCCTGATGCTAGATTCAACTCAAGTCAGAATTGTATTTCATGAAAACAGCTTTTCAATTTATTTTATTTTTTTTAACGTGAGCTTTTCCATTGATTAAGAATTCTGGCTCGAGTTTTGAAGAATCAAATGCTGTGCAGATTGGGCTCTCTGCTAATTTAAACACAACATCTAAAAACTAATTATCCAGATCATCATTAACGATAATAGCCTAGTCTGACCAGAAAATAATTAAGCATTCTGCATTCTCTTGTTGTTTTTAGTCTCTGCAGAAAGTGCCTATCGCACATACTGACTCAGTGGGGAAGGTGTTCATTGCTGATTTACCAGCAAAATCTTTTATTCCTTAGTGGAAGGGTAATGAAAGAAGTACAAATCTGACAGCAGGAACATCATGAAGTTATTTGGCAGACAACTGTCCTGACAAAAATCAGAAGACGGAGGGTGAAGGGAGGGGAAGAAAAAAATATTAAAATATAAAGACAAATTCACAGGAGGGGGGAAAAAAAAAAGCCAGAAATAATTTTTGTCTGAAGAACTCAGCATGTTTTATTTTAAGGCTAAGGAACTGCACTGTGGACTTTATGCTGTTTACAGCTCTCAGCAAAAGAAAAATGCTTGCCAGGGATACATCTGGAAGCATCCAGCGCCCTGGATGCTGCTTGAAAACACAGGGAACAGGAGTGCTGAGCCTTGCACACACACACACACACCTGGTGAAATATTTTGACTTTCAGCAATGGTGTGATTCCAGTTGTTACTGGAGCTACTCTGTACAGGTGACTGGCTCTGAAATTGCTATGGCACCAAAATGCTTGTCTTTAATGCTTGAAAGTCCTTTCAATTTCAGGCTTGAGTCTGCAATGTCTATTATTCTTGACAGGGATTTTCTTTTGAAACAGAACTTGTGACTGGCTATCTTAACAGGATGGGCAACAGGAGTGGATGGTTTAATTATGTCTTTTCTAGGGCTTAATTACATCTTTTTTAGGTGGTGTGAAATCTAAAGGAAAGCTAGAAAAGAGACACTGAAGGAAGGCCAACACAATCCATGTCAAGAGAAAATAAATGAATACGTTTTCTTGCTGGAAGATGTTTGATGACAAGTTGAATGATTTGTAAAACTATTTTTCTGAAGAACAGTGTTAAGAAATATATTACATTTGAAAAATTATTGACAAGTCTAGGGAAGATCATAGAGTAATATTAACTATAAGTATTGTTCCATCATCCTCCTTAGGTTTTGAAAATTGGGTGACCTACAGATTTTCATACAACTCTATTACCATTTTTTACATGTACTGGTTGAGAAAATCTCTAATCATGACTTCCAATTTCCATTGGACAGCTGCTCCAAACCTAAGATTTTGGAATATGAAACATCTATATACACTTTATTATGTATATTGGATGTGTACTGTATCCAATCTACTGCCTCAGACATGGATTTAGTCTTAGATCAGTGATCACCAGAGACTGGTTTCAAAAGGACAGGCTGACAGATGTTGTGCAAGAGGCCACAGATTACTTTAGAAAAGTGATCTCACTCCCTCTGGGTTTCTGGGAGGGAATGAAACACCTGTACCATTTCCTCTGCTGTAACAACTTTTATAGGTATGTCGTTTAGGCTACCTCATATCTTCATGTCCTTTGGACATACTTGGACTTAGGGTGGACTGAGAAACACACTGACCACAAACCAAAGGTACAGCAAAAAACCTGACACTCCTCCACCAGTGAGATAGGGCAGTCATATGATGCTTCAAAATATTTTACCAGCCTTCAGACAGTTGTAGTTTTGGCAACTGCTGAACCAAATGACATATCTTACAGAATTTCTTCTTTCTGTTTCCGGTCACTTCTGGAACTCATTTAGCTTTTAGCATCCACAACAACCTAGCATTTGCTGGTTTCATTTGATATACTCTTTGTGTGATTGGAAGAGACAATGAATAATGTTTTCCTTAACAGTTTGTGCTGCCCAGGGTTCTGTAGTTATCATTTCCCCCCTTCAAATGTCTCTTTTTCAGCCTGAAACTTGTTCTTTGTGCTTCAAGTGATCAGACCAACATAACTGGTGAAGGATACATTCCTGCTCTGCTACCTGGTCCACAGTGGGACAAAACCTCTTCTACTACAAGAGATGGCTGAGGTTCTCCTCAGCAGAAACTGTTCTCCTGCAGTATGGGTAAGGATTTGCTATTATATTCCCTACTATGAATATACAGATGAATATTACACACTGGAATACAAAAGGAAATAAAGTGTAATTTCTTTAAATTCTTCTGTGCTCGTGCATGTCCTATGGGATCTGACCATGCTCCCAACTGATGGGATTTAATGCCTTCACAAGAGCAGCAACCATCTCCCCAGAGTAAATCTGATTGAAACGAACATTTGAGGAACTCTTGCCCTATTTATGAAACAGGCATATGAGGTTCTGTGGGCTTTCTGTCACTGCTGGGATAGTCTGCAGTACACGAGAACTCTTATTGCTGTTGACACTGGTGGAGTGATTAAGGCCTGAGTCTGGAAAAACGTCCCATAGTGAGTCTGAAAGGACATCCTGCACTGTCAAGACTTGATGCCTTTGGAAATCTGCAGCTGACGGTGAAGAAACACCTGATGCATGGTCTTAATCTATGTCAGTCTGGGCTTAAGACACTAGTGATTATGAGTTATGTGAACTGGTTTGTTTTATTTGACCCAAAATAATGTGACCACAGAATCACAGAATCATTTAGGTTGGAAAATATCTCCAAGATCACAGAGTCCAACCTTTGACTGATCACCACCACATCAGCTAGACCATGGCACTGAGTGCCACATCCAGTAATTTCTTTAATATGTCCAGGGATGGTGACTCCACCACCTCCCTCCCTGGTGAGTCCATTCCAATGCTCTAACAACCCTTTCTGTGATCAATTCCTCCTGATGTCTAATCCAAACCTCATTTAGCACAGCTAGATGCCATTTTCTCTCAATCTGTCACTGGTTGACAGGGAGAAGAGGGCACTCCTCTTCTAGCTACAACTTCCTTTCAGGTATTTGTAGCTCTGAAGTCCCCTCTGAGCCTCCTGAGCCTCCTCATCTCCAGGCTAAACACCTCCAGCTCCTTTGGGAGGAGTTCTTCATGGGACTTTCTCTGTATACTCTTCACCATTTCTGTTGCCTTTCTCTGGACATGCTCCAGTACCTCAGTGTTGCAGGGAGTGGCCCAGAACTGGGCAGGGAATGTGAGGTGTGGCCTCACCAGTGCCTAACACAGAGGTCACTGCCCTGATCCTGCTGGGCACACCACTGTTGATACAAGCCAGTACTCCATTGGGTTCTTGCCCACCTGGACACACCTGGCTCATGTTCAGCCGCTGTCAACCAGCACCCTGGGTCCTTTTCTGCTGGGACACTTTCCAGCCACTCTTCCCCCAGCCTGTTGTGCTGCAGGGGGTTGTTGTGACCCAAGTGCAGGACCTGTACTTGGCCTTATTGAACCTCATACCATTGACCTCAGTCCATTGATTCTGTCTGCAGAGTCTTCCTACCCTCCAGCAGATCAGCACTCCAGCCAACTGTGTGTCATCTGCAAACTGACTGAGGTACACTTGATTGCCTCATCCAGGTCATTGATAAAGATATTAAACAGGTCAGGCCCAATACTGAGCCTTGGGGAAGCTCACTATTGACTAGAAGTAAGACAACGATTTATTTTTTCATTTTAAATTCTGTTAAAATGACAAATGTTATGAACATGCAGCATGACAGGCATACATATATTCAGACACATAGGTGGTGTCATTTATGATTGATGTGAAAGCAGATATCTGCACTTAGAGCTGTAGAAGTGTCATGAAATGCAAAGTTCAAAACAAATACTAAGACTTTTGGAAACTTCAGATGCCTTCAGGATATACCACAACTAGAAGGAGTGGGCATCTGCTGGAGGTTTGTACTACAATATTTTAAAGAGTGAATCGAACAAATGTAAATTCAGTAAAAATTATGTGCTAGATTGACCCCTAGGGTACAGTGATGGTATAAATCACTGATCGATAAAGCTAAGACGTGCTTTATTGGCAAACACTGGCCATAAGCCATAAGCATATGGTTCTCTCACCGGAATTGCAGATAAACTATTCTCACCTGGTGGGGCTGCTGTGACTCACCTGTATGGAGACACTGCTGTAGGAACCACCTATGACTCCTGCAATGAGCAGTGGCAAATTCTCTTGGATGGCATACGAGCCGTCAGGGCACATGTACTCTGTTTCATCCACTTTAGTCAAAGATGCCCTGACAAACTCCAAAGACTGTTCTAAGGCATATGTATCCCTGGAACACGTGTCCAAGATATGGACTCCAAGCTTAATTCCTGGCAGCAAGTAGTTGTCTTTGTTGATTTCATCAATAGCAAACAGCATGGCCTCCAAGCGCTGGATGCCTCGGTCTTCATTGATTCTTCCACATTCTTCTATCCCAGTACCTTTTTCCTTGATTGGGAATAAGCCTCCTAAGACCAGGTCTCCTTCTATCTTAATTTCCTTTCTGACAAAACTGTGGTCACTTAGGGAAAGGAAAACTCCTTTGGAAAATAAAGCTAGGGCAAGGACTTGGAGTCTGGTGAACATTTTCATTGGTCCTGTTTTAGCAGCTCTAAGAAACATTGGTGGGATCAAAAATGCTCTTCAGTCCTTCTGATCCATTGCCAGATATGAAGTGCTGTCCCACAAGCCAGTGAAGAACAAGTCAAGCCTTTCCACTGGACCTCTAAAGAAGAGATGGAAAGAATTAGAAAAGGCAAAAGGAGACACAAAGATGTGAGATGTCTTAATCACACAACCATCCTTCCCTGAGGCAAACAAGACTCTCTTCCAAGTAAATTAAGGTAAATACATAAATAAGAGAGACATGAAAGAGGAGAATAAGAGACATGACATGAAGGAGTCTTGTGTTTGATGCTTGCTCAGGGCATGAAAATGATTTGGGCTGGACTTTCTTTAACGTCAATCACAGTTCAGTGCTCAGATCAAAGGGAGAACACAGCAGTGATGTGTATATTTAGGATATGATTCTATTCTCACTAAGGTCAGGACAGTTTGCCAATGACATGAAAAGACAAAAATCAAACCTCAGAGTGAGGATCACAGTGTAACAATTCTGTAAATAAGTATACACACACAAAGTCTGTTTATGCAACACAGATGCGTGACTTGTCCATTGACTCCTTGTCCATAGACTCCCAATATCTATTCAAATTTATCAAAGTGGCTGCCTTGCTCTCCCAATCCTGAGATGAATTGTGTGGCAATAGTTAAGCAGAACACTTTAATAATTTATTTCTGTACTTACCTTTTCCTTAACAGAGTATATACTATAAGAGTTGCCAGGTTATTTATAATTTAGAAACACTTAGCACGAAGAAATTGAAATGAGCAACAATTAAGATTTAACACTGAATAGTGAATGAACATGCTTATTGCAAGGCAGTTGTTTATCCTAGTACAATTTCAACATTGATGTACCAAATTGTGTGAAAGGGTAGCTTTTTATTCATATTTATTCCAACATTGTTCTCTCATAAATGAGTAATGGGTCAGATGCACTGTTAAAGGTTTGTCTGCTATCCTAATAGTCTGAGCTGCAGACTGTCTCAGCAGAATTTTCCATTCAGAAATGTCAATGGAAAAAAGGCTTCCTCATCCCTAAATGATCTTTAAATAAGCTAGTTTGTTTATCACTTCTGGATTATTAAACAGGTCCAGAAAAAATATTTTTAAGAGAAGTAAAGATATTGACTGTATTCACCAGTACTTTCAGTATCAGACTTACAGAGCATATAAAATGGTGGTACTATCCCAGTGGAAATCACTATCAGACAAAAGGATGACATTCTTCACATAAATGGCTGTGTAGTTAATAATTTAGTTGCATTGACTTCCATTGTTTTGGATTGTTTTCACTAATCCACCATTTGGATAAAAACAGGACTTGGGATATTTTTTAATGCAGTACCCATCTTATTTACCTCTGTGGGTTGTGTTGCCACTGTATCTCAGCAAACATTCATATACTTCTCTTTATAACAGTGGAAAAATATTTGTTTTCACTGTTTTACACTTGGGAGAAAAAGAGGCACAGAGATGAATTAAGATTCTTGGAAGATTCTAAATTCAGAGTTTGATTTGCTCATCACTCACAATCACTATCAAAATTTGGCAAGGTCAACTGTGCCCTGAACCCCCGGTTCCCACTGAGGCCCTGAGTCTGAAAAACTTCCTAAACAAGTTCTTCCAAGCTTGTTCCTGAGTGCTTTACCTAAGGCCATGTCTTACACAGGCCACCATAGCAACCAAGAATCAAATGTCGGTCTTTCCCAGTGCTCCTCTGATACCTTAACAATAAATCTCCCTTGTTTCCTGTTGCTCCCTCTGGCTTTTATGTGAGTCTTTTATAAGGTCATATTAAACCAATCTTCTTTCAACAGCTCTTCAACACGACCAAGAACAACTGAGCTTCCCCAAGAAAAGGCTTTAAAGTGGGGCTCTCTATAAAGTTTTTTAAAACTGTCCTGGGACATACCTAGAGCTACAGTGAATTTATCCTCACAGCAGGGAGGATGCTCTCATTCCCCTGGCTCCTTCATAGCTGCTGGTTTCTGTAAATGGCATTGTCTTTAACCTCACATCTCCTCTGTGTCTCAGGAATGTGTGATACACATTCTCTGATACAGCAGCAAGAAAGGATAGAAATGTACTGAAAATTATTTCAATGTTACACACAGACAACTGATTTCCCCAGCAAAGAATGCAAAAGACTTCTATGTTCTGTCACTTATGCTTGTTACAGTGGTACTGCTGAGGGAAACTGGGATGGGTGATGGCACAGCAAGGGATCAGCCCCTGCAGAACACAAGGGGTGATCTGAGCAGGTGAGATTGGGAATGACCATTACTCTGCTTCTTCCTTGCCACTTTGTGCAGACAGAACTGGTCTGAAGGTGTCCAGGGATGTGAAAGGAGGAGGTAGTGGGAGACCCATTCAGGTTGGAGAACACAGGTTACTCATCCCCACAATCCTGCACTATCTGGGGACATACTGCTTTGTAAGGGGTGTCCATGGGTGGGGGCCACTCACCTACACCAATTGTCTTACCCTCCCCAGGGCCTGTGAAGTTCTGAGCTTGTCATGAGGGCTTTGATTCTGCAGGGTGACACCATGGATACAGAGCCCTGCTTTCCAGGGAAAAACATCCTATTTTATGAGTTCAAATCCTCTCTTTATAAATGGAGGATGGTAAACAAAAACACTGCTTAGGGTATCAAATGTACTTCTCTCCCTCCTCAGACTTGGCAGCCTAAGCACTGCTGCCCATGCAGTGGCATTGCAGTGTCCTGCTGAGCACCAAGGATGCTGAGCAGAGGTTCAGAGTGAAGGTGTTAATGCAAAGGATGATTAGTCAGGGGAGGTTTCCCCTTAGAGCTGTGAGAGACGGATGTCTCCAGGGTTTCTCATCAGTGGGACTCCTGAAGGAAGCTGTGAGGCAGATTTGGGTGGTCAGTGAGCAACATTCCTATGGTGGCACTGAACAGATATCTTGGTGTGATGGAGCCTATTTTAAAGCAGATCTGGGCTTGCAGCTCAGTTCCTCTCCTGTTCTCTCTGGTGTGCACCTCCCACATGCTTTCTCTGCATCTTGCATAACTCAGGACTATAAATACAAACATTTCATACCTATTCCAGGCTGATACTGCCCATATTCCTCCTCTTAAATATGGTGAATATTATTTAACTGCTTATATCCTTCCTGAAGTGATTTCACTATACTGACCACTCCTATTGGCTTTTGCAGTACTGTCTTCTGGTTCTTCTAAAAAAAACAACCTTCTAAAGCATGCTTCTGGGATATTTCAAAAAGAAATACTTGCTGATCAAATGGAAATTCTTCTATTTTTTTGTTTATAATTAAAGTTTTAAGGTCAGCTGCAGGCAGGGTTGTGCTGTTCTAGGTGTTCTGTTAGTACTAAAAATATGTGCATTCCTGCCCTATAGTCTTTGGATCTCTGTGGAAATAGAAGTAGAGCCTGGGTGTAGAAGCAATGTAAATATCAACATGAAAAATAAACAGGCTGAAGGAGAAAAGTTTCCACATCTGCATCAGAGGGTTTCTGCCAGCACTGCTCTATCAGAACTTTAGCCAGAAGCACTCAGCTTGTGAAACATCTTCATTTGTCACTCCAGAGCCCTTTCTCTTTCCACCACAAGAAGTACACAGGGAGAAGCTACATCTACCCTTGGGGGACACTGTCAGCATGTCCCTTAGTGAAAGCAACTCACTTGTGTACAATAGCAGCTGTGCTGCTTTCACTGAAAATCCACTTGCCTCTAGGTCTGAATCATCAGCTCTGGTGGATTATTTCTGTGTGTGTGAAAAGTTGATTGCACAAATTTGTTATTTCTTGCTGTAAGTTTGCTTATTTACTAAGTATGGGCACATTCTTTTTTCTGTGAAAGCAACTAAAATTACAAAGAGGTTTGGGGTTTGGGATGTGGGTTTTCTGCATTCAGTATCCCACTGATATCATCTCCAAAACTGTCTTCCAGGGCTATATTCACATGTCAGCTCTGGTTCTCTGCAGGCTTTCTGTCTGTAGCTCAGCAGGTCCACCTGTGCTGTTGGTTTGGAGACGAATTCTTATCAGACTAAGCATTTTCAGTCTATTTGTCTAGTAGGTGTCAAACTTCCAAGAGAATTGCAGTTGAATCTTTCATTTAGCCAGATGACTTATAAATCAAAGATTATTGCTCACACATCAGTGGCAATTTTGTTCATGCCTTCCATCATACCAGCACCAATGCTTGGTACTGGCAATCCAGCATCCAGCAGTCATGCATTTTCCAGTTTTCCAGTTATAAGGATGGAATGGGAAGCCTTACAGAGAGCTGAGGCACTTCAGATTGCCTAGCTATTTTTCCACACCATTAACCAATGAATAGGACAATCTACATGACTGGGCTAAAACTGTGGAGTGGTTTCCTCTCCTCCTTGCCTTATGTTATATCCTAAATTTCCCCACATTTGTCCCCCTTCACAATGTTTTTCAGGGCTCATCTGTTTATGCAGCTTCCTGACAAAGGATTCAACAAGACCTGACGTGGGTGCTGAAGATTATGTTTAGTTTTATTGTAGGAGGCTCCCTCTTGGCAGTTGAGGATTTATACTGCATTATTCAGAACTATAATGTGTTGTTATGGTGCCTGGAGCCATATGTCAACTCAGTATCACCTGCTGTCCTTTGTAAACTTTCTTTGGAGGAAAACCATGCTCAGTGTAAGGTCACAGAGGAGGTTCCCACCACACCTGTGCTCCTGTAGCATTTTACAAATATTGAAGCTAATAGTTTCATCAATAGATCTTTCTCCAAGGTTACCCATCAGAGAAGTATCTTTCCCTGAGCCCTTGCTGTGCCCTACAAATTTTCTCTTAGGGAAGCAAATTTCTAAAACAAATTCCAGCTCAAAATTCTGGTGCATCTTTCAAGAAGCTGAGTGCAAAGATTTCTTTCACTCAGAGACCATGGATAACTTGCACAGTAGAATAGATCATCCAACACATTTATCACATTTATATGTGCCCTGGCAGAACTTGAACTTAATACCTGATGAGAACTGCACTGAAATATAATATCTTATTTAATCAGAAAAAAAGTGATAGACAAGCTTGAGTCTCCTTGCCAATTATAATTAGAGATGTTGTCACATCTGG